CTCTGAGTGTTTAGTTTTAACTCTTGAGTGTTTAATTTTAACTCTTGGGTGTTTAATTTTAACTCTGAGTGTTTAATTTTAACTCTGGGTGTTTAGTTTTAACTCTGAGTGTTTAGTTTTAACTCTGAGTGTTTAGTTTTAACTCTGGGTGTTTAGTTTTAACCCTGGGTGTTTAGTTTTAACTCTGAGTGTTTAGTTTTAACTCTGAGTGTTTAGTTTTAACCCTGGGTGTTTAGTTTTAACTCTGAGTGTTTAGTTTTAACCCTGGGTGTTTAGTTTTAACTCTTGAGTGTTTAGTTTTAACTCTGAGTGTTTAGTTTTAACTCTGGGTGTTTAATTTTAACTCTGTTTTGTTGCTTTGACAGGCAGAAGTTGGTTCTTCACGCCAGTAAAGCCCGGTCTCTGTTCACAGAAGAGTGCGCCATGAAATACCGTCTCTTCATCTCGAAGAGCGAGGAGTGGATGAGGTGCAACTCGTCGTCTTCCTCTCATCAGAGGGTTAACGGATCCGTCCGGTCTCTCCGGTTGTTGAGTCTTTGTCTGGGTTTGTCCACAGGAAGATTCATCACGTCAGGAAGCAGCTGCTCAGTGTGTCGGGTCAGCTGATCAGCATCGAGAAGGACGTGATTATTCTGATGGAGAGAGCCATCAAGGTAAACAACAACAAGTAAACAAACAGCATTTGAGAAGAATAAAACTTTGTTTCTCTTAGATTTAAAGCTGCTTTCAGACAAGATGAATATTTAGAAATATATTGGTAAAAATAGTTTGTTGTTTAAGTTTTAGTCCATAAAGTTTTATTTTTCATTATTCACAATCATAATCAATGTTATCTGATTAAATTTGATTTTAAACGGAATCTGCAGACGTAAACAGAAAGTCAACGAAACGTGAAAAGTTGTCCTTTCCTTCAGGATCTTAGATGTATTTATTTAGTCCTGTACATTTTGTAACATGGTCGTAAGATGCAGAAGATAAATCAGGTGTAAACAACAAGTACAAGCTGAACGTAAGAAACGTTTTAAACGTTGCACAAACGTAAAAGTTAAAGCAGATGTAGAACAAAAAGATGTGGAATTATTGTTTCTGTCAGTAAAGCTCCGGCCGTAAACGTGTTTTGTTTTTAACTTGGTCTTTTTATTTTTACTGCTTGTCAACAATTTAAATTCTGCGTTTTCAGAGTCTAAAATCCAAAGTTTGAAAACTTTATTTTTTGTTACATTTTTTTTAGTCTGTTTTTGGCACTTTGTGGATGCCGTACTTCCTGTCAGGTCACATGACCGCCGGACGTTAAACCATGAAGGTTTGTGTGTGAAGGACCTGTTGACCTTTGACCTGTGCCTTCCAGCTGCAGGAGGCGCTGCCTCAGAAGGTCCTTCCTCTGGTGTCCACGGGCATGAAGCCTCAGGCCTACCTGAGCCCCAACACGCTGGTGGAGATGACCCTGGGGTAAGACCCTGGACTTCATGTTGGTTCTGGTGTCACAGCATAGTTCTGATGTTGGACCGGACCTTCTGTTCTCGCTCAGGATGAAGAAGCTGAAGGAGGAGATGGAGGGAGTCGTCAAAGAACTGGCAGAGAACAACCACTTCTTGGAGAGGTCAGCTTCACCCTCATGTTTGTTTGGCGTGTTCTCCAGGAACACGAGAGGAACCAGAACCTCTGGGTCACACAGGCCACCCTAAAGACGTCTGCAGTGAGGGTAGGGAGCAGGTGGAAGAGAGTCTGGAGAGGTGGAGGAACGCAGGTGGGTCGGTGACTGAGAGACAGTGAGACAGGTGGAACGGTGAGAGACAGGTTGGACAGTGAGAGACAGGTGGGACAGTGAGAGACAGGTGGGACAGTGAGAGACAGGTGGGACAGTGAGAGACAGGTTGGACAGTGAGAGACAGGTTGGACAGTGAGAGACAAGTGGGACAGTGAGGGACAGGTTGGACAGTGAGAGACAGGTGGAACGTGAGAGACAGTGAGACAGGTGGAACAGTGAG